ATATATGGAGCGATGGTATACAGGTAGTCCTCAACTTACGACCGCGATGAAGTCCAATATTTATGACGCTAAGTGAGACATTTGCTCAGTGAGTTTTGCCCCATTTGACGAACTTTTTTGCCACTGTTGTTAAGCGAATCCCTGAGGTTGTTAAGTTAGTCGCCCAGTTGTTAAGTGGCTTTCCCGCTGGTTTTGTTTACTGGAAGGTCACCAAAGGGGATCACGTCACCCACCCACCCCGGGGCAGTGCGACCGTCATAAATAGGAGTCGGTTGGCAAACATCTGAATTTTGATCAAGTGATCACACAAAGATGCCACGACAGTCGTAAGTGTGAAAAATGTTCATAAGTCACCTTTTGCAGGATTTGGGTTTGGCTAGTCTAGAGAAAAGAAGGACCAGGGGTGGTGACATGATAGCCATACTCCAATATTTGAGGGGCTGCCACAAAGAAGAGGGGGTCAAATTATTCTCCAGAATACCAGAGGGCAGGGTAAGAAACAATGGTTGGAAATTAATTAAAGAGAGTAGCAGCCTGGAATTAAGGAGAAACTTCTTAACGGTGAGGACAATTAACCAATGGAACAACTTGCCACCAGAAGTCGTGGGTGCTCCATCACTGGATGTTTTTAACAAGAAATTGGACAGCCACTTATCTGGAATAGTATAAGATACCCTGCTTGAGTAGGGGGCTGGACTAGAAGACATCCAGAACATCCTTCTGTTCTGTTCTACTCTACTCTACTCTACTCTACTCTACTCTACTCTACTCTACTCTACTCTACTCTAATGAGTCATCCTCAATTTATAACCATTCATTTAGTGACTGTTCAAAGTTACAACGGAACTGACTTAAAATAGAATAGACTAACAAAGTTGGAAGGGACCTCGAAGGTCTTCTAGTCCAATTTCCTGCTCAGCCAGGAAACCTTATACCATTTCAGACTTAGGACTGGTCCTTCCGTTTACCACCATTCTTCGCACTTACAACTGTTGCAGCATTCCCAAGGTCAGGTGATCCTCAACTTACCACCAGTCTTTTAGCACACATTTGAAGTTACAGCAGAACTGGAAAAGGGGCTTAGAGCCTGTCCTTGCATTTACGATGGTTGCAGCGTCCCCATGGTCACGTGATGAAAATTTGGACACTTGGCCGCTGGCATGTACTTATGACAGTTGCAGCGCCCCAGGGAATACCATTTGTGAGCTCCCAAGCCAGCTTCCAACAAGCAAAGCCAAGAGGGGGCAGGAAGCTGGATTCGCTTAATGGCACGATTCACTTAACCAATCATTGATTCACTGAACCACCAGGGCAAAAAGAAATCGAACCCAAGGTTCAATTAAGTTACGTATCTAGTCAAAATTACATGCAATGTAATGTAGTGGATTATTTGGACATGGTTGGTGGCTGCCTTGCAGGCCTGGCTCTGATACAGGCAGTCCTTGACTTACAACAATCGGTTTAGTGACCATTTAAAGTTACAGTCGCAATGAAATAAGCGACATGACAATTTTTCACACTAACAACCATTGTAGCAGCCCTACTCCCTTCTACCACTGAAGATGTTCCCATGTTGGGTCATGAAATGTCTGCGAGAAAGCCTCCAAGCTTCAGAGAGCACCAAGGAAGCAATACTCCTTCTCCTCTTCCTCCTCCTCCTCCTCCTCTTTCCTACTAGCACTGAAGATGTTCTCTACTTCAGTCATGAAATGCCTGCGAGCAAACTCCCAAGCTCAGAGAGCACCAAGGACCCAACACTCCTCCCCCTCCCCCTCTTCTTCTTCTTCTTCTTCCTCTTCTTCTTCTTCCTTCTTCTCCTTCTCCTCCTCCTCCTACTTGCAACTTCCTCTTCTCTTTTAGCACTGATGATGTTCCCTAGTTGGGTCATGAAATCTCTGCGAGAAAACCTCCAAGCTCAGAGAGCATCAAGGATCCCACAGTCCTCCTCCTCCTCCTCCTCCTCCTCCTCCTCCTCCTCCTCCTCCTCTTCCCCCCTCCACCTCTTCCAAGCTGAGATAGCATTAAGGACCCCCTAGTTCTGTGATGGCGAACCTATGGCACGCGTGCCACGTGTGGCACGCAGAGCCATATTAGTGGGTACGCGAGCGTTGCCCTTGGCTCAGCTCCAGCACTCATGTTCAAGCTGGCCAGCTGATTTTCGGGCCTTTTGGACCCACCGGAAGTCGGCAAATGGGCTGTTTCCGGCCTCTGGAGGGCCTGCGGGGGAATGGGGAAGGCTGTTTTTGACCTCCCCAGGCTCCTAGAAAGCCTCTGGAGCCTGGGGAGGGTGAAAAACGGGCCTACCAGGCCCACCATGCCATCACATGCCAAAAGCGGTGAGAGCACGGGGAGGGTCACACGCGCATGCGTGGGGGGGCAGGGCGCATAGAATTATGGGTGTGGGCACACACATGCACGACCACCCGCACTCCCCCCGCTTTTGGCACGTGATGGCAAAAAGGTTAGCTGTCACTGCCCTAGTTCAATCCTGAACAACTAATATTTTCTCATATCAATGTTCAGTCACCTGGTCTCTGGGATTCAATTTATGCTACAAATTTGGCAGTTGACCACTGCATGGAGATGGTGGAGTTTAACCAGGCAGGAGATGGTGGGTTTAACCAGACAGGTATTCCCTGGAACTCTACTACTTCTAAGGTTTGGTGGACCTTCAAACGAGTGTTCTATCACAGCAACACCAGCTCCTTCCTTTCATTGGTATTGTGACACCAAGAGCACAGACACAAAGGGGCAGAACAGGCACAATGAACGTGCAACTCTGCATTGTGTTACTTTTTTCTCAAAAGTGTGGGATCCCATAGATGCAGAAATGCTACCTAGGCATACTCTATAGGCTTCTCTGGACTCCATAGCTGGTCTAGGCTACATTAATCACTGACCCCCACAGAGGGGGCTCGCAACTTGGGCGTCCTCCTGGACACCCGGCTGTCTTTAGAAGAGCATATGACGGCCGTGGCCAGGGGGGCTTTTTATCAGGTTCGCCTGATACGCCAGTTGCACCCCTTTCTGGATCGGGACTCCTTGTGCACAGTCACTCATGCCTTGGTCACGTCACGCCTGGACTACTGCAACGCTCTCTACATGGGGCTCCCCTTGAGGAGCACCCGGAGGCTCCAACTGGTCCAGAATGCAGCCGCGCGGGTGATTATGGGAGCGACGTGACACTCCCACGTAACACCTCTCCTGCACGAGCTGCATTGGCTCCCGGTGGTCTTCCGGGTGCGCTTTAAGGTGTTGGTTCTCATCTTTAAAGCGCTCCATGGCTTAGGGCCAGGGTATTTGCGAGACCGCCTGCTGCTACCGATAACCTCCCACCGGCCAATACGCTCTCACAGAGAGGGCCTCCTCGGGGTGCTGTCGGTCAGGCAATGTCGGCTGGCGGCCCCCAGGGGGAGGGCCTTCTCTGTGGGGGGCACCCGCCCTGTGGAATGAGCTACCTCCTGGAATACGACTGATCCCGGACCTCCAGACCTTCCGTAAGGCCCTGAAGACTTATTTATTCCACCAAGACGGCCTAGCCTAAAAGGTTCTTAATTGGGATTTTAAATTTTATGGATTTGGGGGTTTTAAATTGGGAAGCTAGTGATTTAATTCTTTTTAATTATCTTAACTTTTGTATTTGTATGTTTTTTAATTTTGGCTGTTCACCGCCCTGAGTCCCTTGTGGGAGAAGGGTAGTATACAAATTAAATTAATTAATTAAGTAATTAATAGAGGGATAGAATCAAGATCATGTGAAGTGTTCATGCCACTTTAAAATACCTCAGTAAGGCCACACTTGGCATATTGCGTCCATTTTGGTCACCACAATGTAAAAAAAGATGCTGAGATTCTAGAAAGAGTGCAGAGAAGAGCAATAAAGATGATGAGGGGACTGGAGACTAAAACATATGGAGAACGGTTGCAGGAATTGGGCATGGCTAATCTAGTGAAGAGAAGGACTAGGGGAGACATGATAGCAGTGTTCCAATATCTCAGGAGCTGCCACAAAGAAGAGGGAGTCAAGCTATTCTCCAAAGGGCAGGACAAGAAGCAACAGATGGAAACTCATCAAGGAGAGAAGCAACCTGGAACTAAGGAGAAATTTCCTGATAGTGAGAATAATTAATCAGTGGAACAACTTGCCTCCAGAAGTTCTGGGTGTCCCAATACTGGATTTTTTAAAGAATTTGTCTGGAGCAATATAGGGTGTCCTGCTTGAGCAGGGGCCTGGACTAGAAGACCTCCAAGGTCTCTTCTGTTATTCTGTAATTCTATGCCCTGAAGTCCTCTGTGTTCATCTGTTGTGTATGGTCCCAAAAATACATATTTGAGGAATTATTGGTCTTCACGAATACCTTCTTTTTTCCAATCTGGACACTCTCTGGATACAACTAGGAGTGCACTGCTTAGTTGTGATTTAATTGTGCAGCCGAAAGAGGAATTAGAGGAGGTAGCACATTCCAAGACACTGCACAGTCCTGGGAAGGGAGGAAAAGATTTAGGTAGCTCTGCTCTAGAATCTCCCAGGATATATCTACAGGTAGTCCTCGACTTACAACCATTTGTTTAGTGACTGTCCAAAATTACAATGGCACTGAAAAAAGGGACTTATGGCCTTTTTTCACACAACTGTCGCAGCATCCACTGAGTTTAGCAACTGGCTCATATTTATGATGCTTGCAGTGTCCCAGTATCACATGATCTCCGTTTGCAAACCTCTCACAAGGAAAGTCAACGGGGAGGCGACAACTGTGTTTCTAACTTAACAGCTGCGTGATTGACTTAACAACGGGGGCAAGGAAGTTCATATAAAGAGGCACAACTCACTTAAAACCATCTTACTTAGCAACTGAAATTTTGGGCTCAACTGCGGTCGTAAGTTGAGGACTAACCGTACCCCAGATGTGAACACATGGAAGAAGTATTTTGACGCGGGACAACGGGCGCGCAGCAGGCGGACATTTGACCTTGAAATCAAAACCCCATCAAATCAGTGATGTCCATGGATTCAACATTTTATTTCATGTCTTGCATGGCTCAAATAAAGATGAAGACTATTCAGAGAGAAGGATCCAGTTTCTCCTTCTCTCTATCATTGCAATACAATATTTGTTGGCTAACCATACAATAAGGCATCGATCACAAGAGAACCATTTATTGGATCCGCATTGTCCAAGCGTAGCTAACGAGCCCAGCGCGACGAGACGATTTCTCACAGCCTGAACGAGAAAAAAACAAATGTCCTCGAGACCGATTCCAGGCAGCATAAGAGAGTCCTACTTGACCCACAGCCTGTGTCTGTGTGTGTGTGTGTGTGTCTTTTGTCCAACATGCTGCACGAGCACGATTGTCTCCTCAAAGTGTGGTGGAAACATCACCTCCCGTAATGGTACAAGACACCGTTATCATCCAGTTTGGGAGACCACACACACGGCCCATCCACAGAGCAAAGGGTCTCTTCAGATCCTTTTAGTTCCCCTCAAGTAGTTACGGGAGATCTTTGATAAACCATCACCTGTGGACCGTTTTCAATCCTATACAACAGTTAAAGTCCCGGTTTACGCTTGGTGCTGTAACACGAGGATCCTCGCGTAGAATCGTCTTCCGAGTTCAGAATTCACCTACAGATCCGATGACTTGTGGTTTCAAAGAAGGAAGGGGTGACACCCCCAGAAGACAACTACAGAGCACCCCCTGACCCAATTCTATGTCTAGTTAAAGAAATCACCATCTCTTCTCTGTAGAGCGGTAGTGAGAGTGAACGACCCGTTTGTTCGTTTCTCTCGTTGACGGCATTGCAAAGTTAACTTCCAGGTGTGGCCACCCAGAAGACATTAGACCTATCCTAGTCCACCCATTTTAACTTGTTCCCTCTCTCTCTCTCCGTTTGTCTTCACTCACTCTCAAGAAGTCGTTTTTTTTCTCCCCCAACTAAAAAAAAAATGTTCCTTCTGGTTCATCTCCTATGATGGAGCAGGTTATTCCATTTTTACTTGCACGTGTGAACGTCGTAGATCCTTATACATTCCTGGCAGCTGACGTAGCAGCACCAGTGGAAGATACAGTGGCACTTCTCCTTCCTCTTCTCAGTCCTCGTGTTGTGTCCGCGGCCGCAACACAGCAGGTCGCAGCCATCGATGCCGTGGGAGGTGATGTTGCAAACTCGGTCGCGGGTCCCGAATGAGCCGGTTTCAGGGTTGGGCTCGCAAAAATTGGGGGAGTTTTCATAGTAGACCAGATCTCGCTCCGTAGGCGCTTTGAAGAAGTTATATTTGGGGCGCAGGGTTTCGACCCAGCCGCGGGATTCTCGGTGTTTCTCCACCACCATCTCAGAAGCACTGTCGTACTTATCCTTAAGGTAGTCGCCGATGACCCGGAAGTCTGGTTGAGACCACCAGCAGGTTTTGACCTCACAGCTGCCAGACAGCCCGTGGCACTTGCATTTGAGATGCATGTGGTCTATGATGGACTGAAAAAGAGAGAAGGAGAGAAAGAGAGAAAGAAAGAGAGAGGGAGAGAGAAGGAGGGAGGGAAGGAAGGAAGGTAAGAAAGAAAGAAGGAAGGAAGGAAAAAAGAAAACAAAAAAGAAAGAAGGAAGGAAGGAAAAAGGAAGGAAGGAAGGAAAAAAAGGGAAGGAAGGAAGAAACAAAAAAAGAAAAAGAAAGAAAAAGGAAAGAAGGAAAAAGAAAACAAAAGGAAGGAAGAAAGGAAAAAGAAAACAACAAAAAGGAAAGAAAGGAAAGAAGGAAAGAAATAAAAAGAGAGAAAGAGAGAAACAAAGAAAGAAAGAGGGGGACAAAGAAGCAGAAGATTAATTGACCATAATATTTGTACAGGAAGTCCTCAACTTACAAGCATTTCTTTAGTGACCGTTGGAAGTTGCCACAGCCCTGAAAAAAAAAGTTGACTTAGGACCATTGCAGTATACCTTAAAGTCACGTGATCAAAATTCAGATGCTTGGCAACTGACTCATACTTATGACGGTCGCAGTGTCCCAGGGTCATCGATTGCCTTGCTTAGCAACCGAAATTCCGGTCCCGATTGTGATCGTAAGTCGAGGACTACCTGTACTAGAAGTGGGATAGATGGCTTGTGTGTCCCTGCCACGGAGGATGGACGTGTCTGTACGTCAATCTCAAATCGGAAGGAAATGTTGTCGTTCAATGCGGACCCCGTTAAGGGAACGCGAACAAGAGGACCACAATCCTTACCGTCCGTCCTGCTTCGTTGTTGTGTCTGTTCATGGCCGAGCGAGCGTCCGGACGGTTCTCTCGTGCATCTGCAAACTCCCGTGACACCATGCTGCCGAACTCCACGTCCTCACTGCATCCACCCCACTTCCACCCTTCTCCAGGGGGACCTTTGTGACGGTTGTCGCAGCCGCAGATCGTGGAGGATCCTTCCGCACAGGATCGGGTGACGGCGAAAGCCACTCCAGCCGACGCGATGGCATGGACGAAGGCCGATTCCCGGGTGGCTGCAGAAAAAAAGAAACAACTCCAATGAGATCGGGGGAAAACATTGCAGTGGAACATCTCTTCAACCTGCTGACCGAAAGAATGCAGATAGTCCTCGACTTATGACCACAATTGACCCCAAAATTTCTGTCACTAAACGAGACATTTGTTAAGCGAGTTTTGCCCCATTTCATGAACTTTGTTGCTTTCTTGTTAAGCGAATCACTGCAACATGGTCGTTAAATGAATCTGGCTTCTCCATTGACTTTACTTTTCAGAAGGTCACAAAAGGTGACCAGGATACCGCAGCCGTCATAAATGTGAGTCAGCTGCCAAATATCTGAATTTTGATCACGTGACCATGGGGATGCTGCAATGTGTGAAAAATGGTTAGGGTTTTTTCAGTGCCATTGTAATTTGGACAGTCACTAAACAAATGGTTGTAAATCGAGGACTACCTGTAGATATATCCTGGGAGATTCTAGAATAGAGCTTCTTAAATCTTTTCCTCCCTTCCTTTTTTCAGTGGCCTTGTGACTTTAAATCATCACTAAATGAACTGTTGTAAATTGAGGACTACCTGTAATGGAATAACAAAGTTGGACGGGACCCTAGAGGTCTTCTAGTCCAACCCCCTGCTCAAGCAGGAAACCCCATACTATTTCAAACAAACAGTGGTCTAATCTCTTCTTTAAAACTGCCAGTGTTGAACTCCAGGAGCACTGAACAATTGTTACTGCCTCTTCTGGCTGGGATTATAGGTAATTCTCAATATATAACCATTCACTTAGTGACCGTTTGAAGTTACAACTGCTGTGAAAAAAGGGATTTCACATTTGCAACCGTTGCAGCATCCTTCATGGTCACATGATGAAAATCCAGACACTCGGCAACTGACTCATACTTATGACAGTTGCGGTGTCCCAGAGTCACATGATCTCCTTTTGCGACCTTCTGCAAGCAAAGTCATTGGGGAAGCCAGATTCACTTAACAACTAACTTATCAACTGCAAAAATTCACTTAACACTGTCTCGCTTAGCAACAGAAATATTGGGCACAATTGTCGTAAGTCGGGGACTGCCTGCAAAGCAAAGCAAACCAGTGCAGAGCAGAAAGGAAAACAGAGTAAAATAAAATTAAAATAAATAAATAAGATAACAAAATAAAATAAAAAATACAATGAAATAAATAAAAAATGAAATAAATAAAATAAAATACAATCTCATATAACATCATGTAATATAACATCATATAATATCATATAAGGTACTATAATATAGCAGAATATATCATATTATATAATATATAAAATGAAATAGGAGTTGTGCACTGATCCAAACAGGTAGCAAATGGAAATTTCCTTGTTGACCTGGAAGGGTTATCAGCCACACTATAAATGCGATTTTATGATATCTTTAAATTTACACCTGCCTTCAGGGTTGTACAAAGATAAACCACAATTCCAATATGCTACCTTAACAGGCCGTTCTAAAAGTTTACATTAAAGATCGCACGTCCGCAGCTTCTTCAAAATCCTGACGCTTCCAGAAATTAGGGATTTTCGTTTTAATCGTACCATCTCAGTTGTTGTTAGTTGCAAAGTCGTGTCCGATCCATCTACCATCCTCTGGAGTCCATTTAATCATCTCGGACACGTGTCCAAAGAGAAAATTCAGACCCATATCCTACTTGCTTAACCATAATGTGGGTAGCTACTTTTACCTTAGTGAAAACCACCATCCAGGATAGTTTATGGCTCAGCCAGACCACAACTGCTTGTTTGACCAAGTGTGCATGTTTTATTTTTTCTAAATCTGATTTTGTATTAAATAAATCAGGTCCATGGGCCCATTCATACATTGCTTTAATCTGGTATTACTTTGCAGTCTGATGATCTGTGGACCAACTCCAAGAATTTCCCAGCCAGAATGATGGATAGAAAGAGAGGAGAGGAAAGGAGAGAAAAGAACAGAATAGAATAACAGAGTTGGAAGGGTCCTTGGAGGTCTTCTAGTCCAACCCCCTTCTTAAGCAGGAAGCCCTACACCACTTCAGACAAATGGTTATCCAAAAAAGAGAAGACAAGAGAGAGAAAGGAACGGGAAGGAAGGAAGGAGAGAGAGAGAATGATAGGAGGGAGGAGGGAGGGAGGGAAAGAAGGAAGGAAAGGAGAATAAGAAAGAAGGGAAGAGGAAGGAAGGAAAAGATAAGGAAAAAGAAGGAGGGAAGGAGGAAGATGGAGAAGGAGAAAAAGGAAGGGAAAGGGAAAAGGAGAAAGGGAGGGAGGGAAGTAAGCAGGAAGAAAGGAAAGGAGGAGCGAAGGAGGGAAGGAGTGGGTAGGGGAAGGGAAGGAAAGGAAAGGAAAGAACAGATGAAAGGGGGAGGGGAGGGGAGGAGGAAAGGAAAGGAAGAGAAAAGATTACTCCTTTCTAAGATTTTCTTATAAACAATCTTATCAATCTTGGCAGGTTGAAGATGCGTAGACACTCAGGATTCCCCAGGCATCACACATGGACTTCAATTCCCAGAGTTCTTCAGCCAATATGCATGGAATTCCTCACACTGGCCGGGCAATTCTGGGAGTTGAAGTCCACCCAAAGTGCCAGGGTGAAGAAATGCTGTTCCAGCGTGCCATACCAATAGAAAATCCAATATATTCAGGGCTCTATCCCTTAGGAGGCTTCTTGGTGGCCCCGTCAAAAGATCTCTGAAAGGATCCTCCCTTTCTTGTGGCTTTGAGCAGGGACAAAGAAAGACGAGACAAATCCCCCGGGGTCTCCAAAAGACCTTCTAGCTTCTCGCCCACCCCTGCCCGGATGCTTCGGAGCAGACCTGACCCTTCTTAGCTCCAGCGAGGTGCCTCAGGCTTTGCAGAAGAGCGAAAGAGGATGAGAGGAACACAGTTGTAATGGAAGTGAAGGGTTATTAAGATGCCATATAAAAATGTAAGCCCTTTGACGGAGATAAGAGCTGAGGGGGCTGGGGGCATATTTGTCAGCCGGCCTGGGTGGTTCGCCAGAGGTGTAGCCGTGACAAGCAGCAGGTCATGACTTGAGATGTTCGTGGTAGGCCTTCTGGAAGGGCTGGGGGTGGGCCAGGAGAGGGCAGAAGGGGGTGGAAGGCAAAGCTTTTGAAACAAGGGTATGCATAGCCTCCACAATTTGTAAAGCCTTGTAGAGCAGTTGGACATTTCTTACAAAGGTGGGGGAAAAGAGAAGAAGTGGAGGACCAACAGAAGATGGATGGACTCTGTTATAGTGACAATGGAGGCATCGTTAGAAGAGTTGAATGACTAGGTTGGAGGCAGATCCTTATCAAGAAGTTCTATCTAGATGGTTGCTCAGAGTCAACACTCTTGAAGGGACATAATCTATCCAACATTCAGTTGGTGCAAAGAGCCAGTTTTCTGGAGAAGACCTTAATGAAGTTGGTAAGGATAGAAGGAAAGAAGAAGAGGACAATGATGAGAAGGCAGATAGACTCAGTTTACCCTGATGAAAGGGGTGCCTTTGGAAGACTTGAAGGATGAGGGCAGATCTTCTGGAGAAGATAGATCTGTGTGGTCACCTAAAAGTGAATAGTGACTTCATAGTGCACCACCCTTTGAGAAGTCCATCGTGCAAACGAAGATGGAAGAGAAGCGTAGAAGAGGACAACCAGGAGTAAATGGGATGGACTGAGTTACAGTCAGGATGGAAGTACTGTTGGGAGACTTGAAGGACAGGTTAAGGAAAGATCTTCCTGGAGAAGATCTACCTATCTGGACACTGAAACTTGACACCAAGTTGATGGCAGATAATCCATCAGTCAATCAATGCAAAGACTCAGCTTTCTTGAGAAGTCAACAGTGTTGGGGAAGATGGAAGGAAAGAGAAGAAGCGGGTGACCAGGAGAAAGTGAATCAACACAATTATGCTGGCAATGGGTGGATCGATGGAAGACCTGCAGGACCAGTTTAGGGACAAATCTCCTGGATAAATTACATCTATGTGATCACTAGGGTTGAAAATGACTTGATGGCACCATCCATCCATCCATCCATCCATCCATCTGTCTGTCCACCCATCCATCCATCATCCCATCCATCCATCTATCCATCCATCATCCCATGATCCATTGTCCCATCTGTCATCTCATCCACCCATACTTCCCTCCCTCCATTTATCCATCATCCCATCCATCATCCATCCATCCATCCATCCATCCATCCATCATCCATCCATCCATCCATCCATCCCATCCACATCCTATCCTCATCCCATCCATCCATCATCCCATCTGTCATCTCATCCAGCTATCTTCCTCCATTTATCCATCATCCCATCCTCATCTCATCCATCCATCCTCCTGGCTCTATGATCCATCCATCCATCTATCCAAGGGGGCTGGTGAAAATCTTCTTCTTTGAAGGATGACCTTGGAGATGGAAGCCCTTAAGAAAAGAATGCCAGCAGTTCTCCTTGGAAGAGAAAGACCTGTAGAATTCAATTTGCGCTGGCTGAAGAGTATCTACAACACAGAATGAAATCTTCTTGACCAACGTCCATATCTGACCTCTTTGGGCAATTGCTAGGCTGCCAAAGCTGTAGCCTCGTGTCCTTCAAAGCTGGCAACCATCAGATGGATGGATTTTAACTTCATGATGGCTGGGGAATTCTGGGAGTTGAAGTTCATCTATTTTGAAGAGGGCAGTTGAAACAATGACTTAGTCTTAGGCTCTCATCCACCTGCTTAAGGGCACCAAAAACTGTTTGATTACTATCCTAGACCATTTGAAAATTGCCTACAGGAGTATCTTTTAACTTGTAAATTTTAACCTTGTTTTAAATTTGTTTTAACTGTGCTTCTAATCACTCTTCTATGTGGTTTTAATATATTGTGGGTAACCAGAGTCACTGAGATAAGATGGACGATGCAGAAATTTGATCAATAAATAAAATAAATAAAACAGATCTTTTAAGATTAATAATAATAATAATAATAATAATAATAATAATGATGATGATGATGATATTCCTC